TTTCCCCCTCAGCCACTTAAGCACTAGGAAGGTTGAGATATACTGAGATAGAGAATGAATGTGTATTTGGGGGGGGGGGGGGAATCCTGCATAAATATAGCCATGGAGTTGCAGGCACCAAGACTATGTAATATATAGATTTCTAGGAGTGCATCTATACCAAGCATGGGCCAACTTTGGCTTTCCCTCCTGGTGTTTTGGACTCCAACTCCCAACATTCCTAACAGCCTCAGGCCCTTTCCTTTCCCCCCTCAGCCGCTTAAGAGGTGAAGGGGAAAAGGAAGAGGCCTGAGGCTGTTAGGAATCGTGGGAGTTGGACTCCAAAACACTAAGAGGACTGAAGTTTGCCCATGCCTGCTATAGAATCATGCTGGAAGATCTAGAAATTCCTAGAGAACTATTATATGGTTGGTAAGGAATCTGTTTCAATCAATGTAAAAAGCAATTTCTTTATTCACAGTTTTTCATTTTCATAGGGATCTAATGCCCCTAACGCTAGTGAAAATAAAGGGCTGACTTTATATGTTCCTGCTTTTCTATGACAGGGCAGACTATGGTGGAAGCAGCAATACTGGCAGCAAGAACTGAGGGACTGTAGGGGAAGAGGTATTTCAAGGATTCAGTCGTTGTGAAACAAAATGTTTTGATTTACACCTCATAGACAGAGCTGTAGATTGGAAAGAAAAAATAGATTGGTTGATTACCATGCACCAATTCCTACGGGGCAGCCTTCCTTTTATCAGCTACACTGATTGAAACAGACTCCTTATCAGCCATAAATCTCACAATATCCTCTTCGTTTCTACACCACAAATGCATGGGCATGACTTATTGTGAGCAGCAGCAACTCACTGTTCTGAGACTTGCTGCATTGAGTTTTGTGAAACAGCTCATTTCACACTAAGCCACTGTTAAGTAATGCATGCAGACTGGTGGAAGTACATACCATATTGGGAGAAATCTCCCCTTCAATTACAGTGGCCAGCATGCCAGTCTGAATGACACATTTGGGAAAAATATCGAGGAGAGTGCTGTGATACAAGGCACAAAACTCCACACTTTAGTGTCCACAGACAATTCAGTGTGAAACAAAAGAACACACAACTATTAGAAATGCACATTTACATATCAAAATATTAATTTCACAGATTCATGCTAATATTTTGTTTCCTTTCTGCTAACAACAATTGCAAGGACTGAAAGAAAAGCAAGAAACACTAACTTGTTTAGATACTAGCATTGAAACTGGATGGAAATACATGTTTTTTTGGGTTGTCAAACAATTGTGACACAAATATGCATATTCAATAACGTTTCTCTCTACACACTTTGTTTCCCTTTGTTCCCCAAACATTGTGATCTTAGATTGCAAAGTGGGTCCATAACCTTTTCAACTTTGTAATTCAATAAATATTGGGAAAAGACTTGAGTAACAAACAAAATACATAAGGAAGGGATATAGTTATGAATTCTCCTTGCTGATACACACTATACTCTTAGGATTCAGTTCCAATGCCAAAATATGTTTACCCAACACATAAATATGTCAAACAGAAAAAATTAAATGAAATTAAGCTTGCCTGGAAATTGCTGATATATCCAATGTGATGTAAAAGAAAATGACTAGAAAACTTAGGAGTTTAAAGTGCCACAAGTTTTAAGAATCTCAAAGCTTAAGGAGTATTTATAACTGACTTGGGTGCAAATGTGTAACAATCACACAAGGCAACTATTTGGAATGATAATTATCGAGTAAGTAGACAACAATAATTTCATATGCCAATGAAATGAAACAAAAAACAACACAATCCACAAAGAAAACCATGAAGAACAACTTACGATCAGAACATCTAAAGCAATGAAACAGCTCTCGCATTTGTAGTTTATCTCATCCCGTTAAGCTTTTAATGGGATAATACATAGAAGAGAGAGAAAATCTACCGTACAGAGCATATGAAAATGCAGAAGCACCATTCCAACAATAAGAAATCCAACTGAGAAGTGGTGAAGACACTTTCCCCCCAAAAGTCACAGAGTTGGCCCGTAAGTATAGATAACATCTTGTACTCCAGTTCTTTTCCAAGCCATTTTAAGACAAGCAAACACCACGGCCAATTAAATGCCTAGATGCAAACAGAATTGAACTGCAGCATGTGCATCCAGTTACTCCGATGTTTTAAACCCATGAACATTGCAAAGTGGGTTCCTCTTTGGGTTCCAGATTATGTCATGGGTTACTGTGGGTTTTCAGGGCTGTAGGGCCATGTTCCAGAAGCATTCTCTCCTGATGTTTCACCCACATCTATGGCAGGCATCCTCAGAGGTTGTGAGGTTTCTTGGAAACTAGGCAAGTGAGGTTTACATATTTGTGGGTAGGAGAAATAACTCATCTGTTTGAAGCAACTGTGGATGTTGCAATTGACCACCTTGATTAGAATGTAATGGCGTTGCAGCTTCAAAGCCTGGCTGATTGCTGCCTGAGGGATCCTTTGTTGGGAGGTGTTAGCTGGCCCTGATAGAGTCTTGTCTGGAATTCCCTTGTGTTTTTGAGTATTGCTCGTTACTTACTGTCCTGATTTTAGAGTTTTTAAAAAATATTGGTATCCAAATTTTGTTCATTTTTATGGTTTCCTACTTTTTGTTGAAATTGTCCACATGCTTGTGGAAAGCCTTTGACCACAGACTATGCTGTGTTTATTTGTTGTTTAAAACAATTTGCAAACCAGTATAGATAGACAGCAAAAAAAAAAGCTACACGATTTGTGCAAACACCCATATGCACATTTTTGCAAACTATGTGGCATCCACAAGTTTGCATAATTCTGATATCTTTGTATGAGGATTTCTTTTAAAATGAGATCAAAACCATTCTTGTCCTCAAGAAATATTTAGAGGAATGATACTAACACAGCAAGATATAGGAACATTTGGGAGCTCACATTGTAGGTTTATAGATACTCAGAACCTAAGGCTGTAAATACAGATATTTTCAAAATAACTTACTCACAGTTGGGGAAAGGGGAGAGAGATTGCAATGGAAAAGCACAATTTGCATAACTTCGGGTGCATGTGTATGTTTGGGGGGTACCATATGCAACACTTTGAACACATATACATAGAGAGAGAGAGAGAACTATATACAAATACGGTGATACATTTGGCACAGGGTGAAGTCTGTTAACAGGAAGAAGACCTCAGATTATATGTGGGCATGCCACTATGAAAACAAACAGTAGGAGTTTGAGGCAATGAAAAACCAGTCTGTTAGCCTCCACAATTGCTACCAATGTTACCACACTCCAGCAGTAAGGACAACACTGACTACTTGACAGTTTGGTTGAGAGGAATGCAAAACGATCACACACATATGAACTATATGGATAATTTAATGCCTAATATATTTCATATATTCAAAAAAATTCCATACTCCTTCCTTCCATTCACTGTGAATGGCAATATTATCCCAATAAGGAAGAGTCTTGCTGGAGTGCAAGGAAAGAGATTCAAAGCAGGGACTTCCCTGCTCTGCCTTTTAAGCACTAAGACAACCAACTTGCCATTGAAGCCTACACTTCACATACAACAAGTTTGGAAAGGTACATAATGATAATCCACAAATAAATCCATTCTGACTCAGGTGGATCACGTCCAGTAAACAGAGAACCATTTCCCTTTTTCCAGTGATGTTTCACAAATCAACACTGATAGGCTACATTAGGCACAAGGAGGGAACCGCTCAGGTAAGAAATCCATGTTGGGACAAATGTGCTAGGGAGTGTGTTGTCAAAGGCTTTCATGGCCGGAAGCACTGGGTTGCTGTGAGTTTTCCGGGCTGTATGGCCATGTTCCAGAAGCATTCTCTCCTGAAGTTTTGCCTGCATCTATGGCAGGCGTCCTCAGAGGTTGTGAGGTTGGAAACTAGGCAAGTGGGGTTTATATATCTGATCTCTAGCATTCAAGAGTTCTTTCTCCCATCCTGGAAATTCCACAGATAGATAAACCCCACTTGCCTAGTTTCCAGCAGACCCTTCAATCTCTGAGGATGCCTGCCATAGATGAAGACGAAATCAGGAGAGAATGCTTCTGGAACATGACCATACAGGCCATTAAATGCTTATCAAGGTGGCCAATTGCCACATTCACACTTGCCTCAAGCAGACAAGAGTTCTTTCTCCCACCCTGGACATTCCACAGATCTATAAATCCCACTTGCCTTGTTTCCAACAGACCTCACAACCTCTGAGGATGCCTGCCATAGATGTGGGTGAAATGTCAGGAGAGAATGCTTCTGGAACACGACCATACAGGCCATTAAATGCCAATCAAAGTGGCCAACTCCAACATTCACACTTGCCTCAAGCAGACAATTGTTCTTTCTCCCACCCTAGACATTCTACAGATAGATAAACTTCACTTGCCTTGTTTCCAACAGACCTCACAATCCCTGAGGATGCCTGCCATAGATGGGGGCGAAACATCAGGAGAGATTGCTTCTGGAACATAGCCATACACCCCAGAAAACTCACAGCAACCCTGTACTAGGGAGGTTATCTGATCTCTAGAAGACAGGTAAAAATCTGAAAGAAAGTTTGTACTTCTCAAGCATACCATCACGATTATTTCCTGAACATGATTAGAGCTCCTTGCCAAGCTCCAAACATGGTGCCGGGTTATAAAATGCCTTGGCAAATGAAACTAAAAGGCGGTGGCTAGCTCTCGGATAGCCCTCTCAGCTCAGGGGGTTCGGGTTGAGGCACAGAAACGTGTGGTGGGCTGAGGATAAACCGGCACAAGTATGAAAGCAGTGTGCGGTTTTTCCCCATAGGAAAGTATCTGGGTCACACACAGGTTTTGCTGTCCTGAGGAACCCTACCCACTAGCTCTGAAGGAAACAACGGGTGGGAAGAGTCCGTCCGTCATTCTAGGCTAGCCTTGGAACTGGAGCAACCCCATGAAATCGCTCCCGAGAGGGCCCAGTGGCGCCTTCAAGGCGGACAAACCTGGTCGGCGATGGAGCCTTGGCACCTGCCGGGGAGAAGACGCCCGCCGCGGGTCACCTTGGAGCCCCTTCCGTGGAGCGCCAGGCAGGCAGGCAGGCAGGCGCGCTCCGGAGCAGCCGCCTCGGGATCCCTTTCCCCGGCTCCGCGCTGCCAACCTGCCCGCCTTCCTGAAATCCCTGCCACTCCCGACCAAACACAATCCGGCAGAATATGCCACACACGAGGGAAGCAGCCCGGCGGGAGGAGACGCGAGGGCTTCTTGCCTGCTCCGAGGGCTCTTGGGGGCTCCAAGGGTCAAGAGAGGCGCGGAGGGGAGGAGGAGGAAGCCAAGAGGCGGGTTGATCTCAACTGGAGGGAAGACCCTCATAAAGTGGGGCGGGGGGGGGGGGGGGGGAGAAAGAGAGATCAAGCAGATAGAAGGGCTGTTGTAAGAGGGAGGGGAGAGAGATCAGGCGGAGACCATCCTAAACTGGAAGAAGGGAGCCGCAGCCTGAAGTCTCCCCTTCAAGGAGAGCGTCTCTCCTGACAGTGGCGACCTCAGCCGAACGGGGCTGGGATCCTTCATTTCAGGGCTCAGCTCAAGAGAGAGAGGAGAGAGGGAGGGAGGGAGTGAGAGAGAAAGAGAGAGGGAGGGAGGGAGAAGAGAGGAGAAAGAGGGAGGGAGGGAGAGGAAGGGAGGAAAGAGAGAGGGAGAGAGAGGGAGGGAGGGAGAGAGAGAAAGACAGGAGGAAGGGGGAGAGAGAAAGAGAGAGGGAAGGAGGGAGGGAAGGAGGGAGAGAGTAAGAGATGGGGAGGGAGATAGAGGGAGGGAGAGGGAGAGAGAAAGAGAGAGCGAAAGAGAGAGGGAGCGATAGAGAGAGAGAGGAGGGAGGGAGAGAGAAAGAGGGGGAGGGAGAGCCAATGTGTGTGTGTGTGTGTGTGTGTCGGGGGGGGAGTCTTGTGGGCGAAAAGGTGGGATGGAAATAAAGTTGACAAAGAATACCAAGGGCTCTGGGTTCCTCAGACTCCGACTCCCGCCGCTCCGCGGGACTGACTCCTCGCCAGAAACTTTGGCAGCCGAAGCGGAGCGCGGAACGAGACCGGTGCGCGCTCCGAGGCTCGTCTTCTCCGGCGAAAGGGAGGGGGGAGAAATCAAACTCACCTGGCCGGCGGCGGAGACGGGGCGCCCGCCCTCGCTCCCTCCCTCCCTGCTGAGAGGCGGGCCGAGAGCGTTCCGGTGGCCCGAGAAGGCGAGCAGTGTCCTGCGCCTCTGCCCCTCCCCGGGATCGGGCGGGAGGCGCTGCTTTGAAAGTCCGGCGGACGGCGCTGGGCTCCCACCTGCGCCGCCCTGGCTGGGAAACCCCGCGCCTTCACTTCGCGCCTCTCTCCCCGCGCGACATCGCCGCCGAGCCGCTCCGGTAGGACTGTTCTGCCCAGTGCCGGAATGTCCGAATCGGAGCCGGAGCTGCTGCTGCCTCCGATCGAACAGCAGCAGCCGCAGCAGCACCAGCAGCAGCCGCCCCCTCGGATTCACCCCCTCCGCCGCCCGCCCGCCCGCCCGCGCGCGCCGATTCCGCTCTCGAGCGCCCCCCCCCCCAATTGGCCGCCCGCCGATGACCTCCCGCCCACCGAGACCCCGCCCACCTCCCCGGGGGCCGCCCCCCTCCCCAAAGCGTCCACTCTTCCGTCCCCTCCCTCTTGGTCTCTCCGGCAGAGAAAGGGCAGGGGTAGCGGCCTCTCCAAGGGAGGACCCCGGGAGCTCCCCATGCGGACCACGACTGGGCGGAGGGCAGGGAAGAGTTAAATGCTGCCACGGGGTAAATTACTCCTTCTGATCTAGAGCTTGTGATCTAGTGCTTTATCAGTGGACTAATGTTGGATTCTCAGAGCCATCCCCTTCCCGTTTCCGTTTGTGAAAGCTGGACAGTAAAGACAGCTGTGAAGAAGGAGAAGTAGAGGAGGAGGAGGAGAAAGAGGAAGGAGAAGAGGAGGAAGAGGAAGAAGAGGAGGAGGAGGAGGAAGAAGAAGAAGAGGAGGAGGAGGAAGAACATGAGGAGGAGGAAGAGAAGGAGGATGAAGAGGAAGAAGAAGAGGAGGAGGAGGAACATGAATAGGAGGAGGAGGAGGAAGAAGAACATGAGGAGGAGGAAGAGAAGGAAGAGGAAGAAGAAGAGGAAGAGGAGGAGGAGGAGGAGGAAGAGAAGGATGAGGAAGAGGAAGAAGAAGAGCAGGAAGGAGGAGGAGAAAGAAGAAGAGGAAGAAGGAGAAGAGGAACTCCTTTGAGATGTGTTGCTTGAGAAAAGTTTCCTTGTTTTATTTATTTTCTTTATTTATAACCCTACTTTTCTCGCCGTGGGGACTCAACCATCACACACTCTGGTCACAATGTAAAACAAAGCAAATGCAAACATTAAAAGTGATTTAAATGGTATGTATGTATGTATTGACAGTATTTATATACTGCTTTTCTCACCACTGGAAGGACTCAAAGAGGTTTACACAAAAATAATGGCAAAATTCAATGCCTTACATAGGTAGATCAAATCACAAATCAATCCTATATAACTAAGCACAAAATCAATAGAACAATACACCATAAGATAAGATAAAATGACATTTAAAACATAAATATAAGAATTAAAACACCTAAGTTAAGTTCACTTTATTACGGTCTATGACCAGCTCACAAAAACATTAAAATCACCTAATCCAAGCACCTAGGCTGTATATACTGTATATACTCAAGTACAGCAGAGTCACATTTATCCAACCATCACTCATCCAACATCTGCCTCCTGCCCAGATCCACATCTGTTTCAATACATCAAATTACATTATGATTTTACAAATTAAACACCAAAACATGTTTTACAACAAATCAACAGGAAAAAGCAGTTCAATAAAAGGTAACATTATGTAGTCAATTACTGTATTTAGGAATTTAGCACCAAAACATCGCAATGTAATTTGATGTCTAATAGGTTTTTCCTTAATCCCTTCTTATTATCCAACATTTTTGCTTATCCAACGTTCTGCCAGCCCATTTATGTTGGATTAGCGAGACGCTTCTGTACTTTATTTATAGCCCAGCATTCTACCTGTGGGGACTCAAAGTGGCTAACCATCACACACTCTGGTCACAATTTAAAACAAAGCAAATGCAAACAATAAAAACTATTTAAATAGGATGGACTATATATACTCAAGTATAAGGCTAGTTTTCAGCCCTTTTTTTAGGCTGAAAAAGCCCCCCTTCAGCTTATACTCGGCTTACACAGTTTATACTTCTTTCAGCCCCACGCCTTCCTGGCAGGACCCTCACCTCTCTGCACAGCAACCCAGCTCTCCTTCCTCTCGTCTCTCACGCAGTCTCTCTCGTGCCTTCCTCTCCTTCTCTCTTGGTGCCAGTCTTTCCCACTTTCCTTATTCATATATACACAGCATTTCCCCCAAAATGTATAGTTAAGATAAACTATGGTGCTTATTGGAAGGATACGTAAGCAGCACATTTACATTGAAGAAGGTTAGAATAATGATTTAATCCAGCATTTCTCAAACTGGGAGTTCGGACCCCAGAAGGGAGGTCACGAGGGGGTGTAAGCAGGGTCCCCAAAGACTATCAGAAACACAGTATTTCTGTTGGTCATGGGGGTTCTGTGTGGAAAGTTTGGCCCAATTCTATTGTTGATGGGGTTCAGAATGCTCTTTGATTGTAGGTGAACTATAAATCCCAGCAACTACAACTCCCAAATGTCAAGATCTATTTTTCCCAAACTCCACCAGTGTTCACATTTGGGCATATTGAGTATTTGTGCCAAGTTTGGCCCAGATCCATCATTGTTTGAGTCCACAGTGCTCTCTGGATGTAGTTGAACTACAATTCCAAAGCCCACCAAACCCTTCCAGTATTTTCTGTGGGTCATGGGAGTTCTGTGTGCCACGTTTGGTTCAATTCCATCATTGGTGGAATTCAGAATGCTCTTTGACTGTAGGTTAACTATAAATCCCAGCAACTACAACTCCCAAATGACAAAATCCATACCCCCAAACCCAGAAGTATTCAAATTTGGGTGTATTATTTTACTCTATTTATTATTATTGGAAGGATACATGAGCACATTTACATTGAAGAAGATTAGAATAATGTTTTAATCAGAGTTGGGTGGTCTTATCTTAAATTACAATTTCATGTAAATATTCAAAAACATTTAACCTACGGATGCTTCAATTAATGTAATTTTATTGGTATCTATTTTTATTTTGAAATTTACTAGTAGCTGCTGCATTTCCCACCCTTGGCTTATACTTGAATCAATAAGTTTTCCCAGTTTTTTTTGGGGGGGGAGGGGTAAATTAGTTGCTTTGGCTTATATTCGGGTCGGCTTATACTCAAGTATATACGATAATTTATCGTATATAAATTAAAATTTAATTTATCGTATATAAATTAAAATACATTTAAAATATACTAAATACACTTAAAGTAACATTTAAAACTCAAAATCCCTCCTCAAATCCCACCCATAATGTCCCGAGCATAGTACCCCTTATCCTTCCTCAAATGCAGAGAAAGCAGAGATGGGGCCATCTTGGTCTCTCTTGGGAAGGAGTTCCACAGTCTGGGAGCAGCCACCAAACAGGTCCTCTCCCCTGTCCCCACCAACACACTTGAAGGCCTTCCCCAGAGAAGACCCAGCTGATCATAAGTGTCTACCAGGTTTATAAAAAGAGAGAGTTCTTCAGATATTCTGGTTCTAAGGAGATGTGAACTACTTTTTTTCATGCCAGGAGTGACTTGAGAAACTGCAAGTCGCTTCTAAAGTGATAGAATTGGCTGTCTACAATTATATTGCCCAGGGGACACCCGAATGTTTGATGTTTTACCATCCTTGTGGGAGGCTTCTCTCATGTCTCCGCATGCAGACCTGGAGCTGCCAGAGGGAGCTCTAACCGCTCTCCCTGGATTTGAACCACTGACCTGTCACTGAACTACTAAGAAGACAAATCAATATGTCTTAGCCTGAACTCTTCCTAGGAGTCAGGATGACTATATTGAATGTGCTGTACTTTAGACACAACATGGAAATGTATGATTCACTCAAAAAGACAAATAATGTTTGGGAAGGTAGATGGCATCAGGAAAAAAAGGAAGACCTGATTCTACTCAAGAGAACTAGGGCCCTGAGTTTGCAGGCAAGGTTGTTGTGGGGTAGGATGATTTAGATTTCGCTTATTCATAGACTTGCCATAAGTCAACCAAGTTGACTTTGACTTATGGCAACTCCATGAATAAGAGAACTCTAAATCAGTAATGTGTCTACAAGTGTCTCAGTGAAGAGCTCGTGCTAACATAAAGGCATGTAGGGCATGAGAAGGCAAAGCAAATTTCAGCAACCAACCTT